AATTGAAAAAATAATTATTTTTGAGTAATTAGCACAAAATGTTCTTGCTTTTCAATGTAATTGTTCAAAACATCTCTACATTTTTATTTTTTAGCACGTTTACCCATACCTTAACATTTTATTATAGAAATCATCATTTTCATCTAATTTCTCGTGTAAAATGACAATTATACCCTGTATTTAAATAAAACAATAAAAAAAGAAAAGAAAAGTTGAAGAATAAATTCAATCATACTCCAAAACTTTTTTAAAAAATGCAAATGAGTTCAAATAAATTATTCAAAGGATAATTAACACAAAATGTTTCTACTTATTATTATTATTTTGCAAAACATCCATACCTTTCATTTTTTCACATTTTGTTTTTTAATTATTTATTTGACGTTTATTTGTATTGTTTGAAAAATTTGGAAGTATAGTTGCAATTTGTTCTTTATTTTTGTTTTTTTTTAAGAGGAGGGTATATTTTCATTTTACAGTTTTTAATTGAGAAAATGGATGAAAATAATGATTTTCGCGATGAAATATGAAATAAGGGTGAAAATGTAAAAAATAAAAGATAGGGACGTTGCACATTAATAATGAAAAGTAGGGAAATTTTGTGTTAATTACCTTTTTAATAATTTATTTGGACTCATTTACACTTTTTAAAGAAGTTTGAGAGTATGATTGCAATTCATTCTTTAATTTTTTTTCCCTTTTATATTGGTTTATTTAAATAGGGGATATTATTGTCATTTTACAAGAGAAATTTGATGAAAAAGATAATTTTCGCTCTAAAGGTGAATGTAGATGTAAAAGTGCCAAAAAAAATAAAAGGTAGAGACGTTTTGCATAATAACATTGAAAAGTAAGGATGTTTTATGCTAATTACCAAACTACTTTTAAATACTTTGTGCTGTTTTTTTTTCATTTTTATAGTAAGAATGTATTTTCAAATAGTTGTTGATGGAAAATATGCGGTTAAAAATTAAGAACTAGTTTTGAATTTGTGTGTAATATTGTTTTATTAAAAAATTGGTGGTTGAAAAGAAGATAGAAAAATGTAATTTGAAAAAATAAAAATGGGTATCAAGCAAGGGCATAGTCTGTGTTTGACCACCTTCTTCTTCTTCTTTTTTTTTTATTATAAAATTCACTTTTTTCAAACCTATTATCAACCAGACATCCACCAAATAAATAGAGACGTTTTACAAAGAAGCCCAATTTTTCATACTTTATAATCACTCAAAAAAAAAAAAAAAAAATCTATTGCAAAGCCTACTTTTTCAAAAAATTGGACTCAAAGACACCCTATTGTTTTTTTAGTTTCACGTGAGAGAACTCTCCGTGGGTGTTTGGTGGGGACTAAAACTAGATTTTATAGTAGATTGTGATAGAATGTTTTGAAATGTGAGGTTGAAAAGTTGTGAGACTCATGAAAGATGTTGTTAATATTAGTTGTTTGACATTGACTTAAATTAGAATCAAATTTTAATCCAAACTCAACAGGCTCTAGATAAGTTAACCATGGATTGTTCTTTTGAACTCTCGTTCATTTTCTAGTAAAAGAATGAGATAACATGAATAACGTCAAAGTGTGTCCTCATACAAATATCAAGACTCGGTTTTCCTCCTTCAAATCAACTTAATTTTTAATTGCAAAATCAATGCTGTCAAAAATTGTTTTAAATCAATTTATAAAAAATTCAAAAATAAATAAAATCTAGCCTAATTAGGACCTTAATATAATTTACTATATTGTTTTATTTTTTTGATGCATACTTATTATATTCATTAAAATTCATGAGTGATAAGTGTAATTTGCATGTTTATCAACTCCTAAATGATATTTAATTTGGATTATAGTCATAGAGCAAATTTCTGTTGACTCAGTATTGTATTTGATTTTTATAGGTTAAAATCGCAATTGAAGATGATTGATGCAAAGGAGGGATGTTTAAGCGCAAAATGATCAAAAGAAGTAAAACGAAGAATCTATATGTGGAGCATGTTATAGGATTTCATCATAAAGTTTGGTATAAAGATTTTCACTAGGATATATTATTGAAAAAGATAAGTTTATTTGGATTTCAACACAAAAAACAGAAGATAAATCAGAATTGCGAAACAAAATTTATGTGGGTTCAAAGTTAGGCCGTCGAACTAGGGTCTGCAATCACGAATCTTATCCAAAATTGCTCCAGCCACGGTGGCGAGTCCCAATACGTGATAGGCATGGGTGGGGACCTGCTACATTCTAGTTTTCGACTTTAGTTCTGACTTTTTGGCTTTTGACATTATAATGGCATTTTGGATATTTTTCAAGGCACGAATTTAGGACACATGGAACAACTAGGCTTGATTTAGGTCAAAGAACAGGGGAGATCATTCTGCAACACATCTTGAAGGCCCATATAGTTATAAATAAAATTCTTGGAAGAAAAATTATAGGAAATTCTCTGAGATTTGGATTATTTTGATGAGGAAAAAGGTGTTGATCGGGATCTTTGAAGTGATTTAAAATTTGGATGTTTTTTATTGCTTGATTATTTTCCTATAAGTTGGCTAGTTTTAGATTTTCTTTGGAATTCGTAATTATATCAGAGGTAATTCATGTTTTTAGCTCAAATAGCAAACAACATTAGGTAATATATGAGAAAGAGATATGTTAAGAAAATACAGCAATGGAGAAAATAGGAAAAAAGAAGATGATATTGAAATTCGACAAAGGCTTAAACGCGAAGAATATGTGGTTGTCCTCAAATGATGTTTGCCTCCTTCCGACTTGCTTTTAAAGATTGAAAATGACAAATAATTTGTAGGATTAATCAAGCCTAAAAAGAGCACCAAAAGCAAAGTATTCTTCAAATTTAACAAGTAAAAATGACTTTGAATACGAAGAAAATTGGGATTTCACTAATTTGGAAAGAATGATTTCATCTCAAATGGGGCTATGTGTTTTTCTACATTTTTTCATTGATCACTAATTTCCTATATATAGCCATCAAAAAAGCTTCATGAAGTGGTATCAAAACCCATTGAAAAGCCATCAAAATTTCAAACAAAAACGGTTAATAACAACTACATTTCTCTTCTATACAGTCGTATAGTACAAATCTATGCGACTGCATAGATCAATTATTGGCAATGCCTTTAAGCCCTACATATATGTATGAGACCACATACTAGTTGGTTCATGCGGTCACATAGACCAACGTCTAGCCTCCACCTTTTTTTTCATTCCTTGCATTCTATGTCAAATTCTAACAGTTGTAAGAACAATCGCGCTATCCTTCTCGGTAGGGTTGGCCTTGATAATTGACAAGACCCATCCCGAATCACTCTAATGGACCCGACACGTGTTGTGCGTCGATGGTAGATACCAGCTAAGTGCTGGACCTACCATCAAGGCAAATTTGACCTGCTTTGTCGTTCTAAAAGACTTTTATTAGAGTGATTCGAGATTGGTCATGTCAATAGCCAAGTGCTGGACCCCCCACCAAGGCAACTTTGTCATACTTTGTCGTTCTGAAGGACTTTTATTAGGGTGATTAGGGATGGGTTGTGTCAATAGTTAAGTGCCATTTGTGGACATAAAAAAATAATAAATAAAATAAAATGGATTGGATCGATTTAAATCATTAGCCCAATTAAATTTTTAGTTTACTAAAGTCTATAAAAACCCAAAGGCCCATATCACATTTTAAAATAAACAAACAAATAAATAAACAAATAATTTCTCAATTATTCATTTTAATTAAATATAATTGAGCAATATCCAAAATTAGCACAATTTTCTCCTATAAATAGAACCAATAATTCATAAGATAGGGGTACAAGAAAAAAATAAGCAAAGCAAGCAAGAAAAAAGAAAGCAGAGAACGCCATCACAAAGTGCTGAAGAAATTTCAAGGCCGGAGGAAGTGAAGAAATCCTCTCAAACCTAAACTTGGTGAATCCCAAAAAGATCCAAATCTTCTTTGAATCAAATATGATCATGCTAAGTCCAAGAAGATCAAAGTCTTCTCCAAATCAAATTCAAGTACTGAACAAGTCAAGTCTCAACAAATTAAAATTTTAACAAATTCTCGAGAATCAGGATCAAGCCACGTGGCCCCTCGTCTTCAAATATTCAGATCATTAATCAGAGGATTTTTACAATTACAAGAAGATCAACATTACTTGTATTTATCAAAATACAATTTGTAATGATTTTTGTATTTTAATACACGAAATTCATCGTACACCACCATCAAGGCATCAAGGCAACTTTGACCTGCTTTGTCGTTTTGAAAGACTTTTATTAGGGTGATTAGAGACGGGTCGCGTTAATATATATATATATATATATATATCTACTTTTACAAAAATTTCAAAAAATCTACAGTTGGAGAATCTTTCTTTTTAAAAGTTTCACCAACTTTTTCTAAAAATCTAAAAAATCTTTTCTTCTTTTGAGAAATTTTTTCTCTATGTCGGGGAATCTTTCCTTTTTTCAAAGGATTCCTGACATCTTTCCTCAAAAGTCTTCAATCTTGATTTTTGGGTCTTCTTTCTTTTCTTCTTTTCTTCTAGCAAAATTTGTCTTTTCTGAATAATTGAAGATCTGATCATATGCTGAGATTATGGCGTGCAACCGATGAAAATGACATTCCACTGTCTGAATTATTGTATCTTTCTTCTTGTGGATCTTCTTCTTCATCTGAGAGTTTGGAGTTACTGGCTTCATCTTTTTCTTTGTGGTCTGGACATTTTGCAATTTCTTTTTCTTCTTCATGGCTCTTTTTTAATATTGTCTCAAATGCTTGGTTAACTGCTTCTCTTATTTGTTCTTTTAATCATTCATCATTTTTCTTCTTCTTAATCTTTTTCTTTTTTCTAGAAGAAGTCCCTTCGTCTTTTTTAGATTGTTTCTGGAGTTCTTCAATTTTTTCAAAGATCTTTTCTAAAGAAGCGGTATCTGGGTTAGGATCTTGTGATTCTTGAAAAAATAAACATTCTTGACTATCTTGGACTACCATTTTTTCTTTTCCCTTACTGGACTGAATTTCTTGGGCTTGTGAAAGTTCTGGATTATTTGAAAAGTGTTCTGGTGGACTATACTTTACTAAGTAATCAAATTTTCCACTGGGCTGTCCTAGGAGATCCCAAATTTCTTTGCCTTTTTCTGTAGCAGATTTATCAGTCTGCTGAGTCTGATTGTCTAATTTAGTAGGAGAATCAACAGTCCCCTGAGTTTGTTGGACTTTTGGTAAGTCCACAACCTTTAACGGATTTGATAAGTCTTTACCAACTACCGTTTGGGCTGGACTAGCTATGGACTTCTTGGGCTCCATAGTACCTGTTGGATAATGAACTTTTAAATCCAAAATCTCTTTTTCTAATTGGGTCACTTTCTTTTGAAGTTGGGTTCTTTCTATTGAAAGGTTTTGATTGGCTTCATTGATAACTTTGTAATTTCTCTGCATACATTCACAATGTTGGCAGAAAATGTTCTGGTCTTTGCTTGGAGAAAAATCTAATGGAGGGTCTGAGTAATTCTTCAGGGAAGGAGATAAATAAAAATTTATTCGTATCTGTTGTCTTGCAACATCTAATGCTTCTTGAAAATTTGTAAAACCTTTGTAAAGAGGATCTGGAAAATTTTTAATGCAATCTAAAACTTCTAACCAAGAATGAAAAATTCCTGGAATTCTTCCTTTAATAACAACATAAAATTTAAACATTTGCTTGTTCTGACTAAAATGTTCTGACAATGCATTCATGCATGCAAGAAAATATTTTTGATCTTTTGGATTCTTATTATAAGAAATCCATAAATTGTCTAAAATACATTTCTCTTCTTTAGATAAAGAAATATTACTATTAGGGAATACTATAAGTTCTTGGTTTCCAAACCTTAGTCTGTCTTGTAGCATTGGTCTGTTCTGATTAAATGGAGTCTGTGGTAATAGTCTTGATGCAAATGAATCTCCAGGTGGAATTCCTGGTTTTATAGGCCTTGGCCTTGTCATCTGTAAAAAAATTATGTTAAACAAATTTAATAATTTCTATCTATTATTATTCTACTTAGTATATCCGCTGCCTTATTATCACTACCTTTAATATGTTCAAATTTTATATTAATTCCTGTATTAGTGATTCTATCAATAAAATTTAACCATCTTCTTCTACTACTTCCTTTTGAATCTATTTTCATTTTATTAACAAAAGAAACTATGGCTACACAATCTGTTCTTATTGTTATTTCTTTCTTAGATATAATAAATAGTTCAAAACTATCTAGTGCATAATTTATAGCTAATAATTCTACATCTATACTACTTAAATTTCCTTTTTCCTTATAATTTCCACTATTGTATCTACAAATTATTTCTGTACTTTTATCAGTATATTTATTGGGTTTACATATTAATATAGCTCCCCATCCTATCATACTTCCATCTGTTTCTATAATTAAATATTCTGAATCTAAAGGCATGGCTAATTCTGGTAAAGTTTTTATTTTTTCTTTTATTTGTTGGACTAGTTTTATGTCTTCTTGGTTAAAAAATCTTTGTTTTGTAGGAGATATTTTTGCATATAAAGGTCCTGCAATTTTTCCTAAGCCTTTTATAAATAGTCTAGTATAATTTACTAATCCTAAAAATTTTTGGATTTGTTTTAAGTCTTCTAATTTGTCTGGAAATTCTAAAGCTTTCTTAGCAATATGAGGTTGTAATTTAATTTTACCTTCTGCTATATTAACTCCTAAGAAGTCTATAAATTCTTTAAATAAAATTATTTTCTTTTTACTAATTATTAAACCATGTTTAATAAATTCTGAAAATACTATTTGTAAATGTCCCCTATGTTCTTGTTTATTTTTACTAAAAACTAAAATATCATCTATATATACTATTACAAACTTACTATGTCTATTAAAAATACTTTCCATTTTTCTTTGAAAAATACTTGGTGCGTTCTTAATTCCAAATGGTATTACAAGCCACTCAAAATGTCCTTCTGGACAGGTAAAAGCTGTCCACTTAATACTTTCTGGATGCATTTCTACTTGCCAAAATCCTGACTTTAAATCAAATTTACTAAAAATTTTGCATTCTTAATATTTTGTTTATTAAAACTGTCTTGTCTGGTATATTATAAGCATCATCTATAGTATTATCATTAAGTCTTTTATAGTTAATAACCATTCTACTTTTTTCTCTAACAATTTCTGAATGTTTTCTAACTATAAAAGTTGCTGATCTATGAGGACTATCTGATTTTCTAATAACTCCTAATTCTAAGAGTTCTTTTATATGTGTTTTAAAATCTTCTATGTCTAAATTTGTTGCTTCAATATTCTTAGTGTTAATTATGTATTCTGGGTTCTTAATTTTTAATTCACACAATATTTTATCTTTCTTCCAATATTTTAAAACATTTTCTCCTATTATTTCCATCTTTTCTAATCTAGAAATTAAATTTTCTATTTCTTATTCTGTTATCAACATGTCATAAAATTTTTCATTATCAATTAATTCTATAGTTCCAAAATCTAAATTATCTTCTTCTAAAATTTCTAAAATTCAGAATTTATTTCTTCTAAACTATTTTCTTCTATCTGCTGACATTCTCTTTCTTTTTCACACTTACAGTTATTACTACTACTACCACCACGCTTCTCTACGTATTCTGATCGAAAATAGGTAATTTGGGTTGGTGTAAATAATGTATGTTTTTGTAAATGTAAAAAATCTTTAGTAATTGTAACACTTTCATTGTCTTTTAATAAAAAACTTAATCCTATTATAAAATCTATATCTTTAATATTTAAAGGTCTAACCCAAACTGATTCTTTTGGTAAGGTATATTCTATACTTCTACCACAATTTGTCTCAAAATTGATTTTGCTATTTGATTGTAATAATTCTGTGTAAGTATAAAGTTCTCCATCCATCTGTTGTGCTTCTATTGGTTTGTCTGAATATGTTATGTATTGTTTTGGTATTAATTTATTATTAATTATACAATTACTACATCCTGAGTCTATTAATCCTAAACATTTTATTTCATATTGTCCTATTCTTATGTAACATTTTACCTTAATACTTTTAAGTTTTTCTGGATTACATATTACCTGAACATATTCTTTTTCTTTATATTCTGTACTTTGACTTTGTTCTTCTATTTCTATTGTTTTTCCTTTATTATTGTATTCTATCAATTCTATTTTATTTATTATAAATTTTTGCATTTCTTCTAAACTTTCTATTCTTTTTCTAGGAATTTTTATTTCTGATATTTCAATTTTTTCTTTTAAAATTTCTGAGTTAATTTCTTCTTTTTTAATAAGGTTCTTTTCTTCTAAGTATTTTATGCATGCTTCTTTGTAACATTCTATACATTTAGCTCTAAGTTTTCTAACTGGATACCAATTACATAAATAACAAGTTATATTATCTGCTCCTTTATATTTTTGTCAATTATGTAAACATTCTATAATTATATTATTCATTAAATTTAGTTCTTCTTCTTATTTTGATTCTTCTTGTAATCTTATATTAGAAAATTCTTCTATTATTTCATAATCAGATTCTTTATTTTCTTCTAAATCTTTGTCTTCTATTGATATAATACTATAAATAAATTCTTTATCTGAAATATATTCATCTAATTGTATTAAATCTTCATTAGTACATTCTATTAATATACTCTTCTTATCATAATTATTTATTCTTTTTGGACAAGTCTTAGATAAATGTTCATTACTATTACAGATATAACAACTAAGTCTATTTTTATAAGTTCTTTCTGGTTTGAATTTCTTCACATGTCTTTTTTCATCTAAATATGGTTTTCTCTTATTAGATTTTCTAAGAAAGTATCTTTTCTTAAAAGGTCTTTTCTTATTCCTTTCTTTATTACTATATTTATTTTTTCTTGAACTAGAGACTCCATGAGTTTGTGGGGTAAAAATATCTTTACAAAATTTATAGTCTGTCTTTTTAAGTTGTTTTTGGATTTGTAACTCTACACATTTATCTTCTAAACATCTAATTACATGTTGAATTCTTTGTCCTATACTCTATTGTTTTTTTTGTTCTTCTTTTACTGATGCTAAATTATTCCATTTTTCTGTAATCTCTAATTCTAATGGTCCTGGTAATTTATGAAATAATTTATTACCAATTTCTTGATTAAAGGTATTTCCTGATATTGAAGTTAAATAATGGTATTCATTTAAAAAGTTTTTAACATATCTACCTTTAGTCCATTTATAAAGACTAAGTTGTTCTAAATCTCTCGTAGCTTTTCTTTCTATACTCATATGTCCTAAATTTGGGTCTGCTCCTATTATTAATATCTGTATTTTATTAACAAAATTATAAGGATTGCTTCCCATATTAACTAATTGTTCAAATTCTTCTTTCTTTTCTAATTTAAATGCTTCCCACATAGTTTTTACACTTTCTCCTAAGAATGTTTCTAAGTATCTATACATATCTAAAGTTTCCATTTCTTGAAAATTTCTAATATAATGTCCTATTATAGTATTTTTTTTCATACATCTATTACATTATTTCATGTCTGTGGATCATGTGCTGTAATATTTAAAATCTGTGCTTTATGATCTGATTGGAATTCTATTTTCTTTTCTAAGGGTCTTTCACTTCCTCTTGCTATATATTTTCCTTCTGTATTATTATATAAAGGATAAGCTCC